CTGTGAGGAATTTACGTAATTTGGTTGAAGTGATCTCAATAATCATTATTGTTATTATTATTTAATAAAATGATATAATGTAAATTAACAAATAGCAAAATATGTTATAAAGAATTACACCACATAAAAATGTTATGTTCGCAAAATTTAATAAAAGTTTAACATTAGGATGAAAATCCTCTTGCAATTATTTTGTCTAATCACTCTTGGCGGTTTGAAACTAAGATTATAAATATTAACAAGAATACCTTTTGCTCATGATAAGAATGAGTTTTGGTAAATTTATGTGCTGTATATTGAGTGACTTCAATGTTGTGAGACAAGTGAAAGAGAGGAAAGGTTGTCAGGCAGACCATGGTATCTCTAAAATGGAGGGCTTCAATTCTTTCATTTAGGAAATAGAACTTGTAGATCTTCCACTTGTCGGTAAAAAATTTACATGGATAAAAAGAGATGCTTCTATGATGAGCAGGCTAGATAGAGTCCTTGTTTCTAGTTCCTGGCTTGATTACTGGAGAGATGGTTTCATTAAGGTTCTGAGCAGAGATGTGTCTGATTATTGTCTCATTATTCTTAAGCACAAAATGGTTAACTGGAGTCCGAAGCCGTTTCAATTTAATAATTGTTGGCTGACTCATAAAGAAGTTGTGGATGTGGTGGAGGAAGCGTGGAAAAGAGATATTACCCTCCCATGAGCTGCTCAGAGAGCTAGCCAGAGGTTAAGGAATGTTAAGATTGCATTGAAAAAATGGAATATTGAGGTATTTAGAAATGTTGATAAGGTGATCTCTGATTTGACAACTGAGTTGAGCTTGATTGATGATAAAAATTCTGTGATGAAACTTTTCGATGTGAAAAAGAAGCGTCAACAGATATTGGTGGGTGATATTTGGAAGGCTAGGAAGAATAGAGAGAGTTTCATAGCCCAAAAAGCTCGGGTGAGATGGGGGAAGGAGGGTGATTTAAATACAAAGTTCTTTCATTTATGTGTTAATGGGAGGCGGCGACGAAATATTATACATGCGCTCTAAATTTGGGAGAGATGTGTCGAAGAGGTTAATGAGATTAAAGCAGGTGTGGTGTCCTATTTTGCGGCTCATTTTAGTAGTAGAAGTTAGCTTCAACCTACTATTGATATTAATAATTTACCAAGAGTCTCTGTTATACAGAATGAGAAGCTTGTTAATGTTTTTTCGGAAGAGGAAGTGAGAAGGATGATTTTGAAGTGTAAGGGTGATAAAAGTTCGGGGCCTGATGGTTTCAATTTTGTGTTCCTTAAGAGGTTTTGGGGAGTGATTAAGGAAGAAGTGATGGGTATGCTTACTGAATTTTGTAGAAATGGGAAGCTACCTAGGTCTTTGTTATCTTATTTTGTAGCACTTGTGCCAAAAGTGTCTTGTCCACAACAAATATATGATTTTTGGCCTATCGCATTATTAGGTTGTCTTTATAAGATTGTTTCCAAGCTTTTGACAAATAAGTTGAAATGAGTTTTGGATTCAATAATTATAGAAGAATAATCAGCCTTTATTCCGGGAAGGAACATGTTAGATAGTGTGCTTGTAGCTAATGAAGCAGTTGATTATGTGTGGAGGTATAATAAGAGGTGTTTTGTGTTGAAGCTTGATTATGAGAAGGCGTATGATTCGGTAAAGTGGGGATATCTTTTTTCTTTATGTTACGTAGCTTTGGATTTTCAGACAAATGGGTCAGTTGGATGGAAGCTTGTATGTGTGGGGGAAGCCTATCAGTTTTGATTAATGGTTGTTCTACATTGGAGGTTCATATTGAGCGGGGCCTAAAACAGGGGATCCTCTTGCCCATTTTCTTTTTCTTGTGGCAGTGGAAGGATTAGGAGTTCTTATGCGGAAGGCAGTGACTTGTGGGTTGTTCTCTGATGTGAAGATTGGGGTAGGGGGACCAGATATTTCTTTGCTGTAGTTTACGGATGACACATTGATTATGGGAGAGGTTTCGGTGCAGAATTTGTGGACTTTGAAAGCAGTATTACGTAGCTTTGAATTAATGTCAGGTATGAAAATTAACTTCCATAAATCTTTTGTATTGGGGATTAACACTGGTGATGACTTTGAAAACTTAGCTGCGGAGTTCCTACATTGTAAGATTGGTAGTTTCCCATTAAAGTATCTCGGGTTACGGTTAGGTGTTAACCCAAGAAAGCTTAGTGCATAGAAGGGTGTGTTAGAGGCTCTTAAAAAGCAGTTAGCGTCATAGAAGCATAGGTATTTATCGATTGGAGGTAGGGTGACTTTGATTAATGCCGTTCTTAATTCTATGCTATTGCACTCGTTATCCTTTTTTAAGGTACCGAAGTCGTTAATAAAGGAGATTGTCACTATCCAACGGAATTTTTATGGAAGGGTGTTAAGGATGGATCTAAAATCCCCTGGGTGAAATAGAAAACGGTATGTAGACCGCGGAAGAATGGTGGCTTGGACATTAGGAATGTGCAGTGGTTTAATTGGACGCTTCTTAGTAAATGGTTGTGGCGAGATGTTAACTGTTCTAGTTCATTGTGGGTGCGGGTGTTGGAATCTATATATGGAAGATTAGTTTCTTCTATTCAGCGTTCATCAGTTCACAACAGATGTTCTTTGTGGTGACGTGATTTGCTGGAGGTTATTCATCAAAGGGAATTCATGACTGGATGAGAAGTTTGATAGAAGTGTGGGTGCAGGTTTACAAACTCTTTTTTGGAGAGATAAGTGGGTAGGCGGGGTGCGATTGTGTGAAGCATTTCCGCGATTATTTGCGGCGGTGAGGAATGCTGAATCATGTGTATTGGAGAATGGTTTTCATAATGGTACTAGGTGGGTTTGGAATGTTAGTTGGCGAAGAGGACTCTTTCAAGATGAGATCTCGTGCTTTAATCTTTTGTTGGAGCTTGTGGATGGAGTTTCTATTAAGTTATTACAAGAAAATAAATGGGTATGGAGGGCATATTCTTCAGGTTGTTATTCAGTGCAATCTGTGTATTCATGACTATTTGAACTTTTTGGTGGTCCTAATAGTGTAGATCAGTGTACGACAGATGCCTTGCAAAGGCTATGGAGAGAGAAGGTCCTTCTTAAGTGTCTGATTTTTTCTTGACAATTTGTTGAATGCACTTCCTTGTAAAGATTTATTGATTGATCGTGGTGTTCAAATTGATGATATAACTTGTTGTTTCTGTCATGGTTTGGAGGAACTTCCAATTCATTTATTTTTAACGTATTCAGTTTCATCTCAAATCTGGTACTTTACTGCCTGTTGGCTTGGATTCTCACTAGTTTTGCATTCAGATTTATCGACTCACTTGCTTTCTTGGGTTGGTGTTGGCTGTAGTAAAAGAGAAGGAATATGCTTATTAATTGTTTGGATAAGTATAATGTGGTCTTTGTGGTTACATAGAAATAGAATTGTATTTTCAAATGGTGTTTTGGATGAGAGGGAGGTCCTAGATTCTATTATTCTGAAATCCTAGAAATGACTATTACTTGTTAGTAAGGGAGAAGCTATTATGTTAGCTGATTGGTATTTAAACCCACGAAATTGCATCTGTCTTAATTTTATATAAGTATATTTTTGTTTTTTATTTCTCTGAGTGAGTAATTTTTTCTGTGTATATGAGTTTTGAGTTCCCCGTAAACTCTTTTTAATAATATTTATTTTGCCTATATAAAAAAAAAAACAAGAATACCTTGTTTACATGCAATTACTTGCACCAAGCATGTCAATCTTAATTATAGAGATTAAGGGTTGTTTGGATTATTAAAATATTTTTTATTTTTAATAATAATTATTTTATTTTTCATTTTAAAAAATTATTTTTATGAACAATTAAAAATAAAAATAAGATAATAGTTTTATGATTACAAATTAAAAAAAAAAACAAAATATGTTTTATGAAAGCAAACAATCTCTTATATTCTCATCTGTTATAGAAATGACCATTACCCAGTAGTATTACAATGGACTTGTGACTGGCTATTTAGTAATTTAATATTTTGCCTCCACTAATAATAAAATAACTACGGAGGCTAAACAAATTTAACAATAATATTTTTTGGATAACAAATGAGGAGAGTGAAAAATAATTTAGTATGTAGTTTAGAAAAAAAAACTTAAATTTTATTAAAATAACAAGTTATTCAACTATATAATAAGAAATAAGGTTGTCAATTAATTAATTAAGTGTAACAATTATAAATTTGATAGTTATAATAAGAACATTTAAAAGCTACTCAACGTGTGATTCACCGTATTTTATTATAAAACATAGTTTAAAAAAGAGAAAAATAAAAAGTTGAATGAAAAGTAAAAATATATGTAAATTATAAGAAGAATATTATGATTTATATAATTAATTAATTTTTTAACTATAACTTAACTAATTTTTTTATTTAATTTAATTTAGATTCAATTTGAGTTGCATACGTGGTGGATCAGTTTATTTAAATACAAAATTTTGCTTAAATAATATCTGTTGGTAATGTAACTAATTTTTATATGTATAACTTTATTTACGATTATTGATTTAAATAATAAAGTTATAGAGAAAAAAAAACAAAAAGGATGTAAAATAAATAATAAAGTAATATTTAAGAAGTAACTTTAATACATTTTTTAAGGATAAAACTAAAAATAATTCCTTACTTTTTATGTACCAATTAGAGGTTTTAGACACTTTTCAAAAATGGATCACGAACTCTATTCTGACCGATACAAATTTTGTTAGAAGTTAAACTGTTATTAATTATTTTAAAAACGGAAGCATCAAATGTACATCTCATAGAAGGAGTAGTTGCGAATGTAAAAACTAAAGAGGGGTGGCTACAGACCGAAATACAAGTTGAATTTCAGATTTGACTCGTCATTTTAAAATCGGGGAATGGTGTTCCCCAGTGTCAAGACGGTAATTAGGAGAAGTTAGAGGGGCATTTTGTGCGCAATACATTTGGCAACAGCAATATAAAGTAACCCGCGAGATGCAGCCACCCTACGCTTGGCTTTTGGCAGCGAAGCATTGGGGGAGAGAGTAGAGACACTAAACCTTCTCTCTCGCTTTCCTTTGACGCTTCGGACACACTTTGTCTTCTTCTTCAAACCCTTTCAACCTTTCTTTCTGTCTCATTGACCTAATGGCACTCCCCGACTCTTCTCGCCGCAACTCTCTCATCCCTACCTTCCTCTACTCTTCCTCTCCCAAAACCCTACCGCTTCACCGCATGCTCAGTTCCCCCGCTGCCTCCGCCGCCGTCGACTCTCCGTCGTCGCCGTCCGTCGGATCGCGTGGGAGCGGCATCATGATTCGCTCTCCCAGCGAGTCTCGCAAGATCGAGATGTACTCGCCTGCCTTCTACGCCGCCTGCACCGCCGGTGGAATCCTTAGCTGTGGTCTCACTCACATGGCCGTCACTCCTCTTGACTTGGTCAAGTGTAATATGCAGGTCCTTCTCTCTCTCTCTCTCTCTCTCTCCATCGCTGGATCTGGATTATTGTGCTCTGATTTGACTCTGTTTTGCTCGATTGTGCTGTATCTGATAGCATTTGGCTTTTTAATGTGGTTGTTAACATTAGATCTGCGATTTCCCTTGATGTTTTTCTTTCTGATTTTAGGTTGTGGTTTCGTGTTTTGTTAATTAGATCTGTTGAGAGCGTGGTGGTTATGTTTAGTTGAAGGATTGCTTGCATCGTATATCGTGAGATTTCTTTTTTCTAGTTCGATTTTGTTTTCTGTTTATGTGATTTCTAGTTTCGGATGTGCGCTGTTTTCGTCCTTTTAATTTTGGGGTTTCTAGATTTTATGGTTTTCCCGGTGTTTTACTCCATTTAGGTGCTGACCGTGATTCCCTGATAGCGTACGTGGAAGTTTGTCCATTTTGAAGGGTTGAATTTGTAACGAGCAGTCGTGATTTGTGTTGTAATGTTAATACCTAATGAGTCTGAACTGGAATTTATGTAGTTGGGATTGGTGTGTTATTAGGATTTGTGTTTTAATGTTTGAATTGATTTATTTTTGACTTCAGATTGATCCTGCCAAGTACAAGAGCATCTCGTCTGGTTTTGGTGTTTTGCTTAAGGAGCAGGGATTCAGGGGCTTTTTCCGCGGCTGGGTGCCTACCTTGATTGGTTACAGTGCACAGGGTGCTTGCAAATTTGGATTCTATGAATTCTTTAAGAAGTACTATTCTGATATTGCTGGCCCAGAGTATGCAAGCAAGTACAAGACCTTGATATACCTTGCTGGTTCAGCGTCTGCGGAGGTCATTGCTGATGTTGCACTTTGCCCATTTGAGGCCGTGAAGGTCCGTGTACAAACCCAACCTGGTTTTGCAAGGGGTATGGCTGATGGGTTCCCAAAATTTGTCAAATCTGAAGGAGCTGCAGGGTATGCTTATACATGCTGTTAACTCCTACTTTGTTTTGGTGGATGCTGTGTGAATGTGATTGTATTAAGTTGATCTATGCTTAGAATTAGGATTACGATGTGATCTAATGAAATGTCTTATGATTTCAGGTTGTACAAGGGATTAGTGCCTCTCTGGGGACGACAAATTCCATGTAAGTTGACCATTTTAAATGTTGTAGTTTGCATTAAGTGCCATCTTGCTGAAATGGCTATTTCTTGCGTTGCCAAAGAGGTGTTTTAATCCATACTTCTATTTTTTGAGTGTCATGTTACTTCACATGTCCTTGATTATTGAGCCAGGGTAGAACTTCCCTGTTGCACGCTTGCACTTCATTTCACATTTGAAAACTGAATATTCTTGTTTGTTAATCTGCTTTGAAGTTAAAATTTATTATTTAGTATTAATAACAGTTTCCTATTTACCGAAGTATGACTATGATGATGAATTGATTAGTTGGGTTTTAGATAATTCCTTAAAACTGTTGTTCAAAAGCTTGCCAAGGATGTAATTTATTCCATTCCTTATGCTGTCTTTGTACAAAATTTTCTGGTGATCTGATTGTGTTTTTCCTTGATCAATTCCTTTGTATAATTGCTGGTAAAATGCCCTCTATTTGGTGAGAAATAGTTGTTGTTTATAGCAGATTTTGTATGCATTCGATTGTAAAAGACTGATTATTGATATTATATTATTATTTTGAAAATGCGTTACTGGTTCTCAGCTCTTTGATGTTGTAAACTAAGCAAAGCATGGTTAGTTATGAATTGTGTTTCATATATAGTTTTTCTTGTCACATTTATGCCACCTTTATCTCTTTATGGAATTAGTACTTTTGTTATGCCCCCTCTATTCAGTTAAAAAATTGTAATTTTTGTTTGTTGAGAAATGATGGAACTCTTTGTTGTGAATATTGGTGAAGTTTGATGCTCTGTTATATTAATTTGAGCTTTGTTTCATTTATTTCATGTGGAATGTAAAAGGTCCTGACACCTGATAATGAGACCTGTCGAATATAAAAAATTTTCTTTCTTGCAGACACAATGATGAAGTTTGCTTCTTTTGAGACCATTGTTGAGCTGATCTATAAGCATGCCATCCCTACACCAAAGAATGACTGCAGCAAAAGTCTGCAACTTGGTGTCAGTTTTGCTGGTGGATATATTGCTGGTGTATTTTGTGCTATTGTGTCTCATCCTGCTGATAATCTCGTCTCTTTCCTGAACAATGCCAAAGGAGCTACTGTTGGTGATGTGAGTGTCAAACTTGGTGTATATTCTGTGTAATTATTTTGTATTATGCCTGTTTTTGACAAGTTTCTTTGATGTTATCTGCCATATAATGCAGGCGGTGAAGAAGCTTGGTTTGTGGGGTCTCTTTACCCGTGGTCTGCCCCTCCGTATTGTTATGATTGGAACTCTTACTGGAGCCCAGTGGGGGATATATGATGCATTCAAAGTTTTTGTGGGACTGTAAGTTTATACAATTGCTAGTCTATGTTAGGGTTCCTTGCTTTCATTTATATCATGTTCTTCAATAGGTTGTGTTAATGACTTTTTGTTTGCTTCCCAGGCCAACCACTGGTGGTCCTGCACCTGCAGCTCCTCCTGCTCCTGCTCCTACTGAGCTAGCAAAGGCATAGAATGTCCAATGATAACACACTCGATAGTTTGTTTAAGAAATCTAGAAAGCCAGTGAATAGGGACCATAAATAAACAGAGAACTGCTGAAGTTGCTTGAGTGGAACTCAAGCTTGGTTGGATATTCTTTTCAAGTTCGGACATTGTTTCCTTTTTTTTTTTTTCTTCCTTGTATTTGAGTATTTTAAATTTTTGGGAGGATGGTTTTGCTTGCATCCTTCCTGTTCCTGAAAACTTGTAGGTAGGAATGATATAATTTTGCATGTTAGGGTCACTACATGCCGCTGTCAAACGGGAATACACATGTTTTCTTGTCTATGCATAAGCATGGACGCATATGCAAATTCCTTGATTGAGATCAATTTTACTCCAAATTTACTTGACTATTTCTCTTGAAAAAAGATATTTATTTTAAATTATGATTATTATGATGCTTTCATCTACTGTAATTCCATGTCTGATACCACTCCCGATGGTTACACCAACTATTGTACCTTCATCGTTTGACTAGCTGTGGGTTAGCAAATTGGTTGGGATTTGCTAGGTAACTACTTTTAAGTACATGTTTGGTTTCATGTTCGATTAGACCTGGATTAAGTTTAATGAAATGCTATTTGTTGTAGTTTTTGTAATGAATTTACGCATAGGGTTTTATAACGTGAAACCAAACTCAAATTAACTGCGGTGGTCAAAACCCTCGTGTTTTGTTACGTTATTGAAAATGAATTGGTCAGTATTAATAATTGTTAATAGAGTCATGGCTCTCTCCAGCAGCTATGCAGCGTCAAGCTCAACTGTAAATCAATTTGTCATGCCGTCCCTTTGCAACAATAGATCGAGTAAATGAAAATTTTCACATTGTCCAGCTATCTCATTTACAAGAAGAATAGATCATGAAATCAATAAAGGCATTATTTCCTGCTACTCACATGAACCATCAAAAATTGAATGAAAGAGATGTAAATGGTTACAAACCTTTATAGTTGAATAAGCAATTATTGACTTTACTTGAAACATATCCTATAACAAAGAATTATAATACAAATCTTTTTTAATATAATTTCATACATAGAAACCCACATAATTAGGTACGTAAACAAAAATTGTAAAACTGAACAAGTAGTCCAATAAAAGAAAAATCATTAAACAACAAAAATTGATTAACTTGATATATTAAAAAACCCGAATAATACCGGATATGCGACAAGTTCCACAACTCCTTCTAGGTTTTTAGTTTTCCCCTTTCAGGCTTACAACTTACACAGTTACACTTACCTCCACACCAGAAGAGCTACTAGTCTGAAAGGTGTTCCATCAAGCCTAAAAGAGGAATTATATTAAAAATTTATATTTTACAAAACCCTAAGGCATAAAACAACCCTAAAAAGTAAAAAATATAATTTTGCAGTTGCATAACTTCCCTTTTTTTTTTTTATCATAATTTCCTTCTTTGAACCTTTCAAAATTGTAAAACAAAATAAACATTACAAATATTACACAAAAATTGGAAAAAAGAAGAAGAAGAAAGTAAACCCTAAGCTAAAAAAAACCTATGAAGTACCGACGCTTCAAGCGGTAGAAGAGTCCAGGTGTCAGACACGGATACGACACCGACACTCATAGACACTACAGTGACACAAGTTCAACACTTTTTATAAGTGTCCAAAAATTAAAATATTTTTTTGACTGTGACACGGCACAGACACAGTTGGAGACGGAAGATACGACTTCAAATCGGCTCATTCCAAAAAAAAAAAAAATCAAAATAAAAAGTTAAAAGTTGAAAAAGTTAAAAAATCTTTAAAACTCTTACTTTTTTTTTTCTATTCCTTCTTCAGCACGTCTTACTTTTTTTTTATTCCTTCTTCAGCATGTTTGCTTCCTATTCTGTGTTGGGTCTCTCTGCAGTCTGCACATTCTTCTCATCTTGTTGCCCGTTCAAGTGTTTTCATCACTTCGTCATTCTTTTTCTGGGTAATATTAATGTCAGGCCAGCATATTTATAAATAAATTATTCCTATTAAGTCATGTTACATATATTTGGACAGTATGAAATTCTATATGCTGGATTGTGAATGGGTAAGCTGTGCAGTTACTGGATGAAAGTTTTGAATTGTAGTACCGTTTAGTTGATCGTTAAGTAAGACTAATAGTGAAAGTTTCGATTGGATATCAAGTACTTTATATAAGCATTACTCTTTTTAAATGGTGTTATTGAAGGTGATTAGCAGTGTGGGTTAAGGATTGAATGTTAAGTATGTTGTGCAAGCGAGACTGAGTTGTGCAAAATTGAGCTTTTCGGAGTGTTCTCGCTCAAGCGAGGCAAGATGAGGCCTCTCCAACTGTCCCCTCGCCTAGGCGAGAAGGGATCTCGCTCAGGCAAGAGGCAACCTCGCTTAGGCAAGGAGTAACAAGAAAACTAGACAGCTCTTTGGACCTGATCTCGCTCAAGTGAGGTGTTCCTCGCTCAAGTGAGAATTTCAGAAATCTGGGAGGTTTCACTGTCTGATTTTCTCGCCTAGGAAAGAGTGAACTCGCCCAGGTGAGAAAGGAGCTCGCTTAAGCGAGTGTACATAGATCTGAGGGGTATTTAAGGAGCCTCAGCACTAGAAACGTTCATTTTCTCACCAGACAACTTTTCTCTTTCATTTTCTCTCGTTCTCTCACTTTTTTCCTTAGAGAAAACCTTCTTGAAGCCGAATTCTTTCCCGATCAATGTGAGATCGTATATCTCATCAAGATCTAGGTGAGTTTTCAGAGCTCATTTTCTGATTTTTACCTTGATTCCTTCTCTTTCTTTCTTGAGAAACTTATACTATGTCGTTTTGAGTAGATATGAACCATTCGAGTCGTATCTCATACTCAAATGCTTGATCTATCTTCTTGAGATTCACTAGAAGCAAGACCTTGGAACTCGTTCCAGGTAAGGGGAGCTTGTCTGAGCCGATTTATTTGTTTAATAATTATAGAGTTAATTGTGAACTTAATTCTGTTATAGTCGAGAATAAGTCGTTGAATGGTCAGATTCTAGGTTAAAACCCAGAGTAGTATAGTTGAGTAGATTTCTCTGTTGCTTAACTAAGCTGATTTGGTTCATACGATAAATAATCTTGTATTAGTTGAGGATCAGTTGTTGTATCAACAAGATTTAGGGTAAAACCTAAAGTATGTATGGTTGAGCATATTTCTCTGCTGTATGATAATTGTTTGGAAAGCTGTGATAGAACATGATGTGCTGCAATGCTGTGTTATATATGCTGAGGATGTTAAAATACGCATAAATACTTAAATAATGTTTTAAGCGGCTTAGTTTCATTATGTAATATGTACTGGAATGTTTAATTAAAATGCGAAATGCTTAGTTTTGTTGTGAATATATGTATTATTGTGATATTGTATGTATTATTATGATATTGTATGTATTATTGTGATATTGAAGCTGGATGAAAGTGTATGCATTGCTGTATTGATGAGACTGAGAATAAAATTGCTGTGCTTTAATATGATGATTTAGCTGTGCTGCATCAGATTCATCTTTATCATCCTAGAGCTGCCTAGGATATTAAGTTGTACTTGTCTGGATCCAAATACTAGGATAGGTCATTTCTAGACCGAAATAGTTCCTCTGGATTACTTAGGCTGTGAAATCAGATGCAAACTAAATTGCTGCACTTGCATTAGATGGGCTGGAAATGGGCTGAACATTCTGTATAAATTGATTGAAGTTGTTGTACTGACTGTTGTGAATTATATGAATTATACCAATGTTCTAATATTTTTATATTCCATAATTATGATTCTTATTTATATAAGTTCACCCTTGCGCTTGTTTGTGTTGTTATGTGTGTTGCAATGATCGTATGATGGTACGTGAGCAAGGGTGACAGGTGGAGTGTCCAATTTACTTACTGGAGAGTTTGGCTAAAGAGTAGTTCATGCCGAAGAATTTAGGGATATGTAGTTTAATTTTTTTTAGTAGTCTAAGTTTTAGTGTGAACCTAAGCCACTTGACTACAGACTTAATATTTTGATTTGGAGTAACTGTTGTAATGATGTATATACACTTATATCATCTTTGTATTATATGAAAATGTCTTCAGAGTTTTGTTAGTCTGTGGATTTGAACGTTAAGTCAAAATTTCTTTTAAAGACTATACTAATCGTAATATACTTGTACTATCTTGTTAATGATATTTATATTAGAAACAGTTAAGTATGATATCATTGATCCTTTATAAAAAAAAGGGTTGTGACAATTAATCCTTTTCATTTTTACTGGTAAAGTTTTTTATTTTTCTATTCATTTTTATTTCATTTTCTTATTTTTATTTAGTGTTTCCATTTCCTGTTTATATTTCTATTTTTTTTCTTTTTCTTTTTCTTTTATAAGGTTTATATTTATGTTCTGCTGTTTCATTTTTCTGATTTTTATTTTGTGTTTCTTTTTCTGTTTCTGTTTGTATTTCGGGGTTGATATTTGTGTTTCCTTGTTTTTGCTTCTATTATGCTATCAATCTTTTTTTTTTCTTGTCATTTTGTATTTCTTTTTTTTTTGTTTCCTTGTTTTTGCATGGAAGAATAATTATAATAATAATATAAAAGATATGACAATATGGTCGACTATTAAAATTTAAAAGTTTGTTTGCATGGAAAAATAATTATAATAATAATAGATAAGTTTGTTCTCCTAAAATTTTATTATTAAGATTATGTTTTCCTATGTGTTTATTATTTGAAAATTTGGAAGTGTTGTCAAGACCAACAATTTTTTTTAAGTCTTATTTTTGCAAGTTGTGGTTGCAGATGTCTTGCTATATAGTCACTCATTTTTTTAAATTTTGTAAAAATGAGTACTTCTAGTGAACCCTTACAAGAAGATGACACTAAACTCCTATGAAATTATGTTACAAAAACAAAAAGTGTGGGTGTAGGTGGTGGAAATTATGAAGCCAAATGTCATATTTGTGACCTAACTTTCAATGGATTTTATACTAGAGTAAATGCACATTTGTTAAAGATCACATGAAAAGGAGTTAGAAGTTGTCAAAAGGTTACACTCTCAAAACTTGTTAATTTAAAAAAGATAGACAATGAGGCTATATTGAAGATAGAAAAGTCAAACAAAATTTGTCCCTTTACCTCTAGTTTCTAATGAATCACTCTTGGACACCAATGATAGTGTTGATCTCAAAAAGAGGAAAACATCTGGACTATTAGAAAAATCTTTCAATATACAAGCTAGAGAGGCATTAGATTATGAAATTGTTAGGATGTTTTATTCATCAAAATTGCCTTTTCATTTAGCAAGAAATCATCATTATAGGAGAGCTTTTTCTTTTGCTGCCAATAATTATATAAGTGGATATCAACCTCTGGGCTATAATAAGTTGAGAACAAGCTTGCTCCAAAATGAAAGAAACCATGTAG